CCTCCGCTCAACTCTCCAGTCTGTCCAGATCAATTGTTTATTTAGGACTGCTGTTACATATTTGAATTTGCCTTTTGTACCCCAGAATTGAATGGGATACATTTCTTTCTGCCTGTCTTTTTCCTACTCTTTTTTTCTTTGTCCATCTCCTCTGTATTACCACTTTTGTTTCCTTGTGCTCTTTGCTCTTTCAAGGTTCCATTTTTCAGCAAATGATTATTTACAGTTGAAATGGGTGACTTTTACTACTAATACAGATCAATTGTTAAAAACCCAGAATGCTTAGATTTTTCTCTCTTCTGTTCTTAATTTAACTGTACTAGTTATGAACAACTGCCCACAGTTGTTACAGCTTCCATTTTTAATTTCTGTTGTATATACATACATGTATGTGTATGTATAAGCATTGCATACATTTGTTAATGAAAACTGTAATGTTAACTTTCTATTCTTTTTGCTAAAGGAACGTGAAAAAAGAAAGCACGAAAGGATTCTTAGTGAAGAACTTGTTGCTGCTGTGACATATCTCAACCAGTTTTTACCCCCAGAGCATGCAATTATATATATACCCTGGGATATGGCCAAATATACAAAAAGGTAGAAAAGATCCTTCTTTGTACTAGTGCTCTTAGCCACGATACAAATAATTGTATGCTACTGAGTGTCTCTTTTCAGTTGAATGTAGATTAGGAATGATGGGAGAATTTTATTAAGGTCTATGGACAGAATAAAACCTCAGCTTTTTGAAGGCATTTTAATGTTTTCTATGGTTTCTTGCCAAAGTGGAGCACGCCTGAAAACTTTGAAAGTCTCTGAAAAGGAAAATTTTAGAGAAAAACAATAAACATTCACTTTTTATTTTGTATTAGTCAAAACACTGCATTTTGTCAGGTGTTCCATTTTAGTCATTGAATTTGAGTTACAAAATTTTGGAAAACAAGAGGTTTCATATCAGTCACTCCTCAATTTCCTCTTTCAAAAAAAAATGAGGGCATTAATTAATGTTACAAAACATTTAGATTATTAGAAGCATGTATCTTAGAAAGGCAAATACGTTCTGTAACTTTTTATTCTATGATTTTGGAGAACAGAATGCTGTACTAAAATCATGTGAAAAGGATTAATGTTTTCCTAAATGTAGAAATGTTTACAAGGCACAAACATTTTAAATCTGCAGGTATAGATTGCTATTCTTAAGTTACACACAACTCGGTTGTGAAGTTCTTTGACCTGCATATGTCTACTGTATCTTATAATGCCAGAAATTCTAGAAGAATGACAAGACTTGTTGGACCAACTTTTGGGTATCTGTAACTGTATTAGTCTGAGCAAAACAATGGAAAAACTAATACTGCTCAAAGGACAGGAATATATTTAATGTTTGTCGATTAAAATTTTATGAAAAAAGCTTTGGAAAACAATCTTTATAAATGTTTTCGGATTACAAGTTGGTTGATATGGTTGGTCATGTAGATGTGACTTTAAAGTTGATGTTGTTTCACACATTTCTATTCTAAAATGGCATTGTGTACAGTTAGGTGCATATTCAATTGTTTGTGTTATGATTAAATAGTCAATCTCAAAATAAGGCTAGATTTCCTTTCAGAAGATATGCTAGGTGCAAGTTCTTGGGGTTTGTACAGAGTGATGCTGATGAAGCTTAGTGGTCTGTCCTATATGGGAAATGGTACTAGGTGATCAAAGGATTCCCCTTCTAGCTTTAAGCCTGAGGTATATTTATATATGTATCCACCTAGTACAGATGTAAAAAAATACCTGAACAAGATTATTTATGCAAGCAAGAGATATTTAAGAATGGAAGATAACGTATGTGTCTGCCTACAGAATAGACGGTTTCAGGAGTACTTGAGAACGTGTTTGCTTTAACATGTAGCTTCAAAGTAAATTTGTTGGGAAGTAGTACCGGTGGAAATGTTCCAAAATACTGCTTCCATCTCAGTACAAGCAATCTTTAAAAAATAAATAATTGTTTTTGTTACTTGAAATGTAACCACTAATAAAAACTTTGAAAATGAAATTATGAGTAAACAGAAGTATATATCTCCAACAGTGAACTAGTGGATGCCCTGATCTGAGCAAGGAGGTGCAGGGCATCACAAAAGCCACCCACAGAAACAAGTGTTAATGAACAGAACAGCATGTTGCAAACAAAATGAGGGAATATGATTTAGCACAATCATATATTCTTTTCTGCCTCGTTCTTATTTTGTGAATCACAAAGTTTGGTAGAGGAAGATTAGTGTGATATAAAAGTCAAGGAGTTTTAGATTTTTTTAAGTCTTAGACTTCTAGTTTACATAATATATTTTATTAAAAAGTAAGCAAAATTGCTCAGATAGTTAGTGTCTGTTTCCTAAGTCTGTTAAATTTAAGAAAACTATAGATGTAATTACTCTTGGATGAATGAAGCTGTGATGTGAGTCTTCCTTTAAGTAATTTTTGTTATTAGAAGACTTTCCAAGCAGTGAAATTTTTTTTTAGTATTAATGTATCTTGACTGTGTATTTTTTTTTAACCTCCTCAGCAAACTTTGCAATGTCCTGGATAGACTGAATGTGATTGCAGAAAGTGTAGTAAAGAAAACTGGATTTTTTGTAAATCGACCTGATTCCTACTGCAGTATCTTGCGGCCAGATGAAAAGTATGTATAATTTAATTGATGCATAATGAATAACATCTATTCCTTGGAGAGTTGTCTGGAATTTCTATGTCTATTACATTATTCCTTATTTTAAGGCTTAAATTAGTATGAAAGAATGTAATTTGTTAGTAAGTTTTAGCTGAAAGCATTTCAGTCAGAGGCAGATGCTAAGAAATGCTAATAACTTGGAAAAGTACAGTTGTGCTGCTGCTGTTCTACTTACAATGAATTCTTACTTCATTATTTGTAACTTGTAATCTATGCCGTGTGTGTTTTGGTTTGGTTTTTTTACCTTGACCAAGGGAATCCTAAATTTGAGGGTAAATTTAACAAAGCAAACAACATTTGGAATTTAATAAGTGGTTTCTTTCGAAGCCATACTAATAAGATAACTAATATTTTGCAATGGATTTTATGGTATTCATACAAAATTTAAAACTTTTTAAAAAAAACAGAAACTGTATTTGCTTAGACTGCTGCAGAAGTACAGTGATTTAATCAGCTGAATTCTCTCAAGTCCCTGAAAATCCAGAATTATAATAACTTCCACATTAAAAGTTCAATATGTTTTTGATTCAAGTTTTCACATTGAGGATCTAATTTATCACTACCCAAATGGGTGTTTGTATTTTATATGAAGAGTGTCCTTGCCTTTTTAGCCTATCTTCGTTTAGAAACAGTCTGAGCTAAAACTCTCATAGGCTCTCTGAGAACTTGTCTTTGCCATGCAATGCAGCAAACATGGTGACTCTAAACTAGCAGGAACAAGATCAATACATGCATGTAATGCTGTGTTTGGTAGAGATAGTCTGATGAGTCCCAAATGTACTATACAGGCTTGCCATAGCAGTGCTCTGGTCAGGCTAGATAACCCTACTAACTTGAAAATACTCAGTAGTTCAGGGGTTACTCACACAGAGCATATGTAATTGCTTCTCCGTCTCAAAATGTATTCATTTCCTATTTATGTTCTCTGGCTCTGGGGTACAGTTAAAGACCTATACAGAATTGCAAGACATGGACAATATATACATATATATATATATATATGTATCCAGCATGTATGCCTAGAATCAGTATGAGAGGGAGATTTAAATCAACCAGCTTGTGCTACAGCGTATGTTATGCCTCTACCTTCCAGTCATTGGCATTGTACCTGCTTCAACTTCTGTGCATTCAAGACCCAATCTAGCAACACTTGCGTTGCTCATACTCCATTGTATGGGGAGCAAAGGAAATAGTTTGTATGGCTTTGGAATAGTTCTACTTTAAGGCTAGATTTTTATTTTTTTCTTTTGCAATGTGTTTTAAATATAACACCTTACTGCTGCATAGAGCTTTCACTGCTTTCTGCTATTCAGGGATATCAATTTTGCTCTGTGGCAGGTTTTTAATTGCCACCTTTTTTCACTGAGCAGGTCGTATGATCTGTTTGTTATATTAAAAAATGATTTGTAAGTCATTCTGTTTTGCTTCTTTCAGGTGGAATGAACTGGGAGGTTATGTTGTTTCCACTGGTCGCTTGCAGGTACTAAAAAATACTTTATTAATTCATAGTTATAGCGATGTAGACCAGAAATCCCAAAGCACCAGTGAACAATTTCACTTAAATACCTGATTGGTGATTCACAGAGTGCTTTTAAATGAATACTTATAGTAAACAACATTATTGCAGTCCATCCCAGAAATCCAACTGGGAAATAGGGCTTAAAGTTCTTGCATGGTACCACAAAACCTTGTGGTATTGGAATTGTATTTTTGCTAGAGATGATCTGAGAAATTATCATATTTTAAACAAGCTTCCATTACTGTTTAGTCTGTAGTATTACCAGAGCAGTGAAAGTTGAAACAGCAGCATTTTAGCAAACTGCATAATAAAATGCTATACAAAAGAGGTGAGGAATAAGCATACTTAAGCCTCGTGACATAGTCATACACATGAAAATGGGTTATTAAAAGCATTTTCACCAGTGCTGGTTATTATTGTTACAATTTCCATTGCTTAAAAAAAAGAAAAAAATAAAACTAGAAACAGTGCTTTCTTTAAGGTCAGAAAAGTGCTGACTAAACTGTAAACCATACAGTACCAGATTTATACCTGAACGTTATGATTATATACTCTGAACACAGGGCATATTCTGAAGAAGCATTAGTTGCTTTTGACTTGCCATTCATAATTCTGTCGTTAGCATGTGACCATTCCTTTACTAGCTGATCAGTGGGATGTGTTTGTTGAGGGCAGATAAACAGCAGAGTAGATAGGATTTGCTGTGTTTTAAAATAAAACATATCAACAGTAGTTAGAATTTTTTTTTTTTAATATTAGTCTTACAGGTTTACCTGTATTAGGGGAATGATTATTTTCTCTGTCTTTCAACTTTAATCATGTGAGGTAGTCACTGTTGGCATACATGTAAGCATTTGGATCACAGTTCATCTCGGAGTAGACATCTTGTAAGACACACCCAAAAAGTGCTTCTTTATTAAGGCAATAAAAGTTTAGTTGACTAGCTTGGGTGTAGCCAGATGTATTCAAGCAGAAGAATCTCCCATGCTCTTACATTAAAATGTGTTTCTTGCAGCTGTTCATATTATAAAATAACTTTGTGTGCATTATGGAAATGAAGAATGGCGGTGCAAGCAACATAAAAGAGTATGTGCGTGACTGTGACCTTCACCAAAATGTTCATTTGTGTTGCTCCAGATACGGAAAGCTTAAAATATAAGCACTATTACAGTAGAACCACAGCAATTTAGACGTGTGCTTTATTTTTTGCCATAGTTACAGCATACTTGAAAATAAGGCCCTCTTCACTGAAATGACATGAAATAACAAAATAACTGAAAAGCTTTTCTTTTTAGAGGCAAGTCTTCAGGGCTGTCTGTGAGTTGAGAGATAGATGCAGTTTGTGTGATGACAAGAAGCAAGAGTATTTTGAAAGCAGGCATTGCAGCAGTCTGATGTAGCTTGCTAGATATTAATTGCTTTTTAACATTTTTTAGATATGTCTTTCCTCAAATTTTTGTGAAGTGACATAATTTAAGATTTGACAAGTCTTGGATAGTAGGGGGGAAAAAAAATCATGAGTGTAATAATTTGTTAATCCAAATAAAAAATTTTTCTTAATTGCTTTACCAGACTGGAGTTCTCCGAACCAATTGTGTGGACTGTTTAGATCGCACTAACACAGCCCAGTTTATGGTGGGAAAATGTGCTTTGGCATACCAACTCTATTCATTAGGATTGATTGATAAACCAAATTTACAGTTTGATACGGATGCTGTTAGGTAAGATATATTAATAAAGTGTATCATGTTTTTATTTTTTAATTTTGTGTCAAGAGATTTAGGAAAATTATGTCTTCTACATATGTCTATGTAGAAAAAAGTGTAATTCTTCCTATTGGAATGATGGTGTTTATTCATCTAAGTTTAAAACATCTTCCGTACTTGAAATCTTCTTGAGAAAATCCAGTCATGCTGAAAATTTGGTCTTCTGGAAAAGTGTGTTAATCAGGCTTCTTACAAGATAACTGCTTGACTTCATTCTCTTTATATGCCTAAACTTAAAAGTAAGAGTTTTCCTTCTAAATAAATGTAAAAAAAAAAAAACCAACCCAGTCGTTCACACTTACTTCACTTGCTTGAGGCAAAATGCTGTTGAAAAATGAAAACTGAAATAAGTACATGCTTTTATGGAGAATGACAAACTGATATTTGTATAGAAGTACAGCTTACCTTACTATTTCCTACTTTTCCTCTGGAAAAAATCTGTGCTTTTTGATTTACTGAAGAAAAGTTTTCAGCAAATTTGTTCTCTCAGATCAGGTATCAGCAATACTATTCAAGCATCCTCAAACCATTTAAGAAAACCCAGCATTTAAATGGAAATGCTTTGGTGGTCAGTGGGAACTAAGCTACTTAACTTGTGAATATGCTTCAGAAATTAATATAAGAGTCCTTGAGGTCATGTGTTTTTATTCCTTAAAGTTGTTGTCCTGACTGTGAAACTTACGACTTCATTGCTGGTTTTGACTAGTGGTTTGATAGTTTTGGAACATGGAGACATAACTTGCATTTCAGAAAAGACAAAGTACTCTGTCTGCCCTCCCCTTTACTCAAGACATACCTTCAGCTCCTCTTCTTTCTCCCATTAGCTTCTAGCACTTGCCTGGTGGGAGGAGTCGGTATGTGCCACAGAAACAACCTCACTTGCAGCATGTTGGTTCACTGTGCAATCCTGATGGCCAGGGAGAGCACCCACTGCCTGGCTTCCTTGATGTGCTAGCAATACCTCTCACCCACCATGGCCCAGCTGCTGGGTGCTGCATGTTTTACTCTGAGAGCAAACAACTACTGCTGCAAATACCGGTTGCTGTGCAGCCTCCTGGGGACTCAGCAATCAGGACTCTTGGGGCCTAACTGGAGGGGATGAGGAGGTGGACACGTCTCTTATATCCACTCTTTGTGATATCCTCTACAGCTACCACTTACTTCAGCACCTCAGGTCATAGGCCTGTCTTTCCTTAGGCTTTACTACTTCCCTGGTTCACACCCTTATTTTGGGAGCCCAGGTTTCCTCTGTTACTTTCTGCTGCAGTAGTCCCATGTCTCCTGTCTATCTTCTCTTCCTTCTGTTTCCTCTCTTTGCCCTAGCCACCCAAATATCCATCTCCTATCATCATATCTGAAGATTATAGTAGTTGCCTTGTCCCTGATTTTCCTGATACCTTGTTTCTCATTATCAGAAATAACGTGGCCAGCAGGAGTAGAAAAGTGATTTTCCCCCTTGTACTCCGCACTGGTGAGGCCACACCTTGAATACCCTGTTCAGTTTTGGGCCCCTCATTACAAGAAAGACGTTGAGGTGCTGGGCCATGTTCCAAAGAAGGGCAACGAAGATGGTGAAGGGTCTAGAGCACAAGCCCTGTGAGGAGCAGCTGAAGGAACTGGGGTTGTTTAGCCAGGAGAAAAGGAGGCTGCGGGGAGACCTTAACACTCTCTACAACTACCTGAAAGGAGGTTGTAGTGAGGTGGGTATCGGTCTCTTCTCCCAAGTAACTAGCGATAGGATGAGAGGAAATGGCCTCAAGTTGCGCCAGGGGAGGTTTCGATTGGATATTAGGAAAAATTTCTTCACCAAAAATGTTGTCAAGCATTGGAACAGGCTACCTAGGAAAGTGGTTGAGTCCCCATCACTGAAGGTACTTGAAAGACGTGTAGCTATTGCACTTGACATGGTTTAGTGGTAGACTTGGCAGCGTTATGTTGGACTTGATGATCTTAAAGTTTTTTTCCAACCTAAATGATTCTATGGTTATCTCTGTGAAATGTAGCTATTATCCTGGCATAAAAGGTTACTTTTATCCAGACAAGATTTGACTTATTTTTTTCTTCCCCATTGCAGTAGGTGTTTGCCTGTCTGAAACAGATTTTGTCATCTGTTAAGACTTGTTTCTGAATTACTGAATTCAGATTAATTAAAAAATCCTGCTCCATAATGCAACAAATTCTGAAGATGGTATTTTTCTCCATTGTGCAGTCTTTCACTTTGACCTCCTACGCTTTTGTTCCCTGCATTGTCTCACATCGTGTATCTGCTTCCTGCTTACTCTGCCTCTTCATTTACACTATTCTAACTGCCCAAACAGGGTAATCTGTAGCAGTCTGTCTTCCTTAATTTAGCTAACACGTCTGAAAAACTAGCTCTTTTCATCACATTCTTTGACTGTCCTTCTTATAATTCTGATTTTTCTCTTATGGTCTCACTGTCTGGCTACAATGCAGAATTTCTGTTGAACTAGATTTCTAAGTCAGCATTTTATTTCAGTTGGCCATCCTGAAGGCTAAAGAAACCATGTGTCTTCAACAGTCTGATTTTGTTATTCTGTCTTGGAAGTTTCCTAGACAAAGTGTATCTTAGCAGCTTGTTTTATCATACGTAGTTAACTTTTCTCTCTGCAGAAGACTAGTCTTTGACTGCAGGCTTATATTTTGACGCTGTGGAAGAATAATTTAATTCTACAAGTCCTTTCCAAATTAAGTGGATCAAGTCCTTAATGAATTTAAAGTTGTCTGCTTTCTATGAACCTTTATTGCAAGGTCATTGGAGCTCTGTTCATCAATCCCCCCATGGCTGACTGGGAAATTTTTGAGAGGTATCATCCTTTTTATCTGCCAGTTTTTGTATTCAGCCAGGTTTTTAGCTTTTAGTTGACCAGCATTGCTGTCTTTCCCCTTGTGTAAACAAAAAACAACAAAACAAAACAAAATCAAAAACCCAAAAGACAAACAAGCCAACACACCAAACCCAAAGAAACAAACAGGAGATTCTCATACATGGTATCATGATCACTGAATAATTTGTGTGGAGGCAGGTGGGTTTTGGTTTGTTTCTTTTGTTGTCTTTTGTTTTGTTGTTTGTTTTTTTTAAAGTTACTAAGCAGATGTTTCCTCCTAATTGATCTTTCTTCTGGACAACTATTTTGTTTTTACAGAAATTGATTTGCTGCTCAGATAAGTGTTCTTGATCCAGAACCTTTTGAGGAGGACTTCAGTCAGATGGTTGCTGGGTTACTTACGTAGTGTATCCCTTTATTGGAAACTTTCTTAAGGGAATACTTTTGTTTTGTGGGTTTTCTTTCATTTTGTTGTTGTGTTGTTTGTTTCTACCCTCCTTCTTAAGGACTTGTCAGGTATTACAGTGTACCACATGCAGATGCCTGAGTTACTGTGTCTTGCTATACAGATATGAAATACATTTCCACAGGTTTGGTGGTTGGGTTTCTTTTTTTTTGTTTTGGTTTTTTGCCTTTTAACTAAACTTTAAGCCTCTTTTAGCAAGACGTCATGCTTGTCATTGTCTTGTTCAAGCAAGGCCATAGACCATTTCTGAGAAGCAGTTTGCAATCTGTTGTCTTTCAGACTGGTTGTCATCTCCTTAGGACAGCCTTCTTTTCTGAGGCTGTTGTAATTATTTTTGTCATTGATAGAGTGCTTCTTGATAATTTTTGCTATTTGGACTGTTCTCAGTTTGCAGTTTACTGTCAACTTCTTGATGCTAGAGGACTGCGTTGCTTTTAGCCAGGTCTCCTTGTTCATCTTAGCAGCCGTCTTCTTATATCATGTTTTTCCAGCTCCAGCAAATGGTGTCTGACTGCCATTCACATTTCTTAAGTCATGTTTCTTTGGTTTGTGCCATCTTTATTTTAACTAGAGAGAATTTTTGAAAGTTATGCTAACTTTATTCCCAGCGGGCTTGACAGAAAACATAGCCTTGAGTTATTGATGTGTTCTGTCTCATTTAGTGTATCTAAAATACTTTCGTTTAACTTTAGTTTGTGACGGTATGTTTTCTCCCTGCAGACTAGTAGGACACGTTAATCTTCTCCCTGAATCTACAGAAGTGTATATTGTGTAGAGTGAATGCATTCTGACATATTATAAATTAGTGAATATCTTACAGTCTAATGCTTCTCAGTAATTATTCGATCTGAATAAAATTTCCACATATTTATCTGAATAAAGAATAGAGACATAGCTTTAAATTTCAGTGTTTGTAAGCTAATAGCATGTTTTAATGAAATACTTGGTTTTTTGTAAACCAGCAGAAGTACTTAGGAGAAGAAAATGTATCGCTTGTTAAACAGAAAGACTTCATTATTACAATACTTTATTACTTTTTCTCTTAAAAAAGTTTTCAGCACTTTGATGGATGACACATTTTGGTTTTCCTTCAGACTGTTTGAGGAATTATATGAAGATCATGGAGATACACTTTCACTGCAATATGGAGGTTCTCAGCTTGTCCACAGGGTAAAAACCTATAGAAAGATAGCTCCATGGACTCAGCATTCCAAAGATATTATGCAGACACTCTCAAGATACTATAGTAACGCTTTCTCAGGTAAATATAAATTAAAGTGCTTTCTTTTAAGCCATTATTTAACAAGCATCTCACTTGTGATGTTTCAATAATCCATACTATGATCTTATGACAGAGATCCTCTATACTATAATTTCCAAATAATTCAGTAAAATCTGATGGATATCAAATGGGTATTCTGATTTGATTAAGTATTTATATCCTATGCAAATGCATGTTGTAGCATGCAGCCTTATTTGATAAAAGTTAGTGAACTGGTGTAAGAAGTATTTAGAAAATGTACACAGGTTGCACTGAAACTGCCAGTGACATTTGTAGATCTATAGAGAAGCACATAGCTGTTACAGAGGCGTTAAAGTGATGGACATGCAACAAATATATGGAAACTGGTAAATTTAAATCTAAATACAAGTAGAAGACTTCAAGTGGAATATTTCCTATGATGTTTCTGGGGACTTCAAACAAAAAGCAAACTCCGATGCATGTAATTGTTTTGTATGACTAGAAGCTACTAACTGTTGAATCTGTGGTAGAAAAGACAAAATTAAATTAAAAAAGCAAGGTTTATTAAGTAAATAAGCTATTTTTTGAGTTAAATAAGTTGTGAAATATTAGCTTACTCCTTTACTAGCTCCTATCAGTAACAGATACTGTTCTGCTTTGTTCTGGACAACATTGCTAAGAGAAAGCCTCTTTGAAAAATGCTGAGCCATACCTTATGCAAAATAATTGGAAAAAAATGCGTAGTGTTTTTAGAAGTTACGAGAAAGATCTAAAAGAATTATCAAAGACAAATTATCTAAGACATGTCAGGATGACAAACATTGAGTGCTGCTGTGTTCTAAATATTGTTTCTTTCCCACAAAAGCTGCATAGCCAGGGAAGGAAGTTGCGGGTTTTTTTTTCCTAGTAGACTGCAATTATTTAGAAACTATGTGAATTTTAAGATAGTGAGTTCGACACTGGCTAGAAATACTTCAGTAATCTGTAGTTTCTTTGACCTGAAGTTATTGCTTTTGTTAATGACAATTATGTGTATGTAACAAAATGTGAGAGCACAGTGTTTAAAGTACTGTTTCTGAATGTAGTTAATGTAATTTGTGTATCATATTTGCCCAAGTCAAATGAGAAATGGAGAGCTTGTTTATTTCAGTGATCTGGCCTCTTATTGTTTGCAGTGGCAGTAAGGTATGGCTTCATCAATTCTTAGGACCAAAAGGGAGCGCACTTGCAGTATCACCTGTACTGCTAAGTACAAGATGGAACAAATCTCTGAAGCTGTTCACTTTTACGCCAGCCTCCTAAATGATGTAGGTGGAAGCTTGAGCAAAGTTCTAGATCCAAGTTTGGGGTTGTGGTCTGCTTGCAAGGATAGTCAAGATATGCATGTGTTTTTGTAATAAAAGAATTTGTTCTGAAAAAGATGTTAGAAAAAGGAGAAAGAATACAGAATGAAAAAAGCCCATCTTGTCACCTAGGGGAACTTGTAGCTGAGTACACAAACAGATGTTAGTCTTTACTGAAGTCAGTACAAAAATGAAACTTTCATAAAGGTGGTGCACACTTTCCCCAATTATGGTTTTGGTATTTGATCCCATTTGAGCCAAATATTTTTTGTGCTTTATGCATTCATTGTGTTTGAAGATGGTATCATTGAAACATTGCATTCAATGTTGTATTTACTGCATTTTTAGTATGATATTTTAAAAGATTCATTTCAGTGAAATTTAAAGGTTCACTGTCCAATACTGCTTGTTCAGGTGGCATCTGCAAACCTGTTAATGTGACACATTGAGAGAGATATTTTATTCTTGAAGCTTTCTCAGAAAGCAGAGATAAAGGAAGTATTTTTAGAAGAAGATTCTGATTTGCTATACTGCACTTATTGTTACTATCCATCACATATCCTTTAAAATGCAAATAAAAATCTGAGGGCTAACTCGTTCATGAGCCAGTGTTTCTTTGTGTTTCTGATCTGAGAAACTTTTTTTAATCCTTATGAATTTTATGTACCAGTAGTAAACAGACACAGAAAATTTTAATGATTTGCTTGAAGTCATACAGTATATCAGATTCAGAACAAGATTACAAGTGGCATGCTAACAGTGCCTCGTAAATAAATGACTTAGACAAACAGAACAAGTGTGGCTATTGTAAAAAATACATGATTCTAAAAATAATTTACACTTTCAAGAAACTGGTTTAATCTGTTGACCTTTGGCTCTTAGGGTAATTGGGGAAACACTGTCACAGGTCGCCCAGAGAGGTGGTGGATGCCCCATCCCTGGAAACATTGCAGGTCAGGTTGGACGGGGCTCTGAGCAACCAGATCTAGTTGAAGATGTCCCTGCTCACTGCAGGGGTGTTGGACTAGATGACCTTTAAATGTCCCTTCCAACCCAAACTATTCTGTGATTCTCTAATCACGAAGTTGTACAGATGAGAAAAAGTAAGACCTGTATCAGATAAGTGACTTGCCTGGAGATGCTGATCCCGTAGATGAGACTTGGACTTTGTCAGAAAGATAACTTTGAATGCAGTTTCACCCTAGTCCATGATATGTGGCTTAGCTTTTCTGTAGGTTGCCTATGTTGTGGTGAACGGCGTTAAATCCGGCTG